AAGGTGATAATATGGCTCAAATAATCGATTCGATCCTGGCATGTTCTTTAATCCATCACATTAATTTTTAAAATACTACTTTTCCAATCATTGAGGCCAGGATCAATTGCACGAGGGTGATGGAGAACAAAAACTAGAAATATGATAACTAAGATCTATAGGAATGCGCAGCACCTGGTTTTGGCCTTTGAGTCCTTCGACGAGACCGAAGAGGAGCTCGACGGAAGACGAACGACGTCAGTACGGGTCACAGAGTGCAACGAGGATATCTCTTCAGCACTCGCGCTGGACAAAAGATCGTTGCAGAGATCTTCTAGCACCAAGGCAAAGGCTGAAAATTGGTGCTTCTTCCACGTTCTTATATGTATATGATTCGAACAATGAATTATGAAGGCAGTGAGAGTTTTTCACAATGTGCTCGCATAGGTTCTAGTCGTCTTCAGAAGACTCGTCCTGTACGCAGGAAAATATGGGAATCCCAAACTAACATAAAAGGAGGAACCCTTAAAAGCTACCCTGCTGGGAAATATCTACCCTTTTCTTGATAATATGTGCGTCTTCTATGCAAAAACCATTGAAACAATCTTGAGAAGACGCGCTGACTCAAAAGGAACCAGTTCTGCCTCTAGCCCGTTAGGTTTGGCCTGTTGCGATATCGCACTTAGGCGTGTACGGTGGAGCGTGCTGCGAAGAGATGGTATCTTGGTACGATAGACGAAATAAGCCATCCATCATTTGTGGGGAACGGGCACAGATGTTGGAGCCAGGCAGGAAGGCACAATGCAGAGCGATCGAGATGGATTGACGTACGCGGAATAATATTGGATAGAAAGATAATTAAACTCACTTATTGGCTTTTCAGCTGAGATCTCGTAAAATCGTGCGTCAAGTGCAAAAGCCTTCTCTTGGCCTTCTATCGATGAAACGCGCCGCTTATCTTGTAGATCACACTGAAGATGTAAATTAAGTATTTTTGCGGGAAAGATAGAAACAGTAGATACTAACCTTGTTGCCAATGAGCACCACCAACGGATCGGCCATACCACAACACTTACGAAGTTCTGTAAAATGATGAATCAGTCCAAAATTTCGTGACCAGTCGTCAGCACAAGAGATGAGACACACTTCAGTTTCAACGAAATAGGCGCTGAGAATCATGCTAACCGGTGTTTTGGTCGAGTGCATCACATATGATCAACTTATCACCGAAAACTTCGCTACGTACTCTCCCTTCAGCTGCCGTTTCGAGGGAAAACTTGCACTTGTTCATTGATCTATTACTTTTCGGAGGACAGCACCTGCTTGATGGAGAAATCCGAATATCTATTTTACACAAAACTCGACAAGAACCATGGCACAAAAAGCGAAAAGTAACCTGGAGCGGGCTTCATTAACAGGCGTTGCAAGTAAACCACGCCGCGCCGATGAATTACCGCTTAGCGAAAACCTAAATCCATATGAACATCCAACTTCTGGAAGCTTTCATGTATCGCTAATTTCCCTCCTTAACAACTTTGCACAGGGTAACTTAACAAACGCCTAATCTCAACTTGAAGATGAGAATAGGGCACTATAATCTTACAACAAACCTTCAGCCCATTTGTCCACCAATCCAACATGCACTGACCGGCTTGACTCGTACATTATAATGGCAGCAGCAGAGTTTCGCATGTACATTGGCACCTGAATGAAGTTGTGTTGAATATTCGGAGGGAAATGGATAGCGTTTATTGCAATTTCCCAGAATTCTACCAGAACTGTGGGCATAGTTCCAAACGATATGATTTAATGATCTCCAAAGAGCTACCATAATAAAGCAAAATATTTCCAAAAAAAATCAATTGACAAGAGGCAAATGAACGAAACTTACCAGCAACCCGACAAACGCTCCTGTACATGTCCCAATTAGGCTCAATGCTTTCGAGCTGGCTCTCTGAAATACGCAGGTAGAAACCCCACAGAGCCTATTAGAGCATAGAGATAAAAGCTTTGTGGCGATCACGCCGCAAAGAAAGAAAAGCATCTTCAAATCGCATCGGCAGTAATGACAAACATGAATCTCACACTTCGCACCTCAACAAGGAGCCCGATGTCTGCAGGCGACATGGCCGCAGAGCCGCACTTCCAAACGCTAATGACGATAGATCACAGGAATTTTTACCAACACCTAAAGGCAAATACCCCAAAAAAGCTGAATAAGCGAAACTAAAGGCAACGACCTGTGACTGTCCTAGAAGATACATTTCGTTAGTTAACCGGTAACATTAATGTATTCCACGAATCATACAGATCCCTCCACGCAACTGGAAGCACCCCGTTGCAAACCGCGCTATGAATTGTTCGAAAAGATTTCAAATACACCGATAACCAACGACGACCAACCTTGCACCCGAGTCTTCGAATCGTAGCGGTCACGTCAACATCGTCTTCGTGATCACGAATGGCTGAGCGTACTTTCTCGTAGGCGTAAATGGACTTTGAAAAAACTTCCATTTCGACAGCACTCCCTCAGTTTGCTGATAGCACTGAAAGCAGAGACTTTAGTGTGTATCATAGATCAGTTGCCAACATCATAGGGCGCTTGGCTCTCCAAAACGAAAACAAGCATTTCAAAATGAAGCAAAATTTCAAGATGAGAGCATATCATTGACAACAAGATAAGAAAATTTGATGTCAGCAATTAAGCCAGCAGAGTCAGCAATTTGATGCCTGTATTTGTAAGACGAGCCAATCCACTCAGCAAATACTTCAGCTGGCGCCGGAACATGGATTGCGCCACAGAGTTGCCAGAGAGCGATCACAATACGAGCGGTTGACGTAGCCTTATTACAAGTAAACTGAGCCGCCGCAGTGACTATCTTTGGCGCTTTATAATTACCCATTCAAAAACTAGATCAAAGATTTTATAAGAACGGAAGTGTTTCTGTGATTTTCTGGAAACTTTAAGATTATGAAACATTCAGCCCAAGCCTAATCTAGCGGCGGCGGAGTGGTTTCCTCGCCAGCTTCGACGACCAATGATCAAGACCTTTAGGTACAGATAGAGCCACTGAACAGACCAAGCGGTTTCCGCCATAAACTTCATGAACCATCACGAAAGTTCCCTTTTCCTTCCGCTTATTAACAATTTACAATTCTTTCTGTTTCAACAGGACTCCAACCTAACCCAAGTAAGGAAGGAGAGCGGTGCAACAGCTCGTGCTGCAATAACTCCATTTTTGCAGGATGGAGAAAGCTTCGGGGTGGGTGTAAGAAGCGGTTCGGAGTGGGTGTAAAAGTGGAAGCGAAATGATTAATGATCCTAAAGTTTCCTTCCTTTGCAAATGTTGGAATTACTGTAGCGGCACGAGCTATCGCATCACAAACCCCTATCCCCAATTATTGAATAGATCCCAAAAAGATTTCTAGACTAAAAGAACAAACATATGTAATTCACTCAAAAAGGGAATAGATCGCAGGGATAAAATGCACCAACTCGTCATGAAGAGGACATATGGTGCTCTGGAAATCGGAATGCTTGATGAGCATCACTGGCGTGGTCACCAAGGAGACCTGAACACTCCGTTTCTAGCAACGAAATTCAAAATCATACACTCAAGCACCAAAGAGGGATAGAAGTAAATCCAGCATCATGTCAGTAAAGCCTATCTTAGCAAAAAAAATTTAATAAAAAAAAACAGAAGTGGCCCGGGGACGGCAGCGATTCAAAAAATGTGGATACGACGTTCTGGGAGAACTTTCTGGAAGACGTGGGAACATTCTGCGAGCCGCGTGGAGGTCGGACATACAAAAGAGCGCACGCGAACGCCTTAAGTATAGCGCAGAGGGCAGCGAAAACATAGATAAACGGAGATGCGCTATCTAATTGCATTCATTAATTGCGTTCCAAATTCGAGAACCAAAGACCAAACCTCCAGAGGATCCACTTCAATTTTTGAGTAAAACACCGGGTCTCATCCAGTAAGGGGGGCATGTGGTGTGACAGTTCTTGCCGGCTACAGAAATTCCAATTTTTGCAAGGGGAGGGAATCCCCGGGGTGCGTGAACCATTTCGCTTAACTTTTACACCCACCCCGGAGCTTCCCTCCCCTGAAAAAAGTGGATTACTTCATGCAATATGAACTGTCGCACATGCCCCCCTTACTGGATGAGACCCAAAACACCTACCAAAAATTATAAAGATAGTTGGGGATTACTATACATAAACGAGGCCATACCTTGCCCCGTCTTCTTTCAGTCCGAGTCTTCATTGCTGAAGAGATCTCTCTTAGAGAACCCGAAGAAGACGGTGCCTTCGCTTGTTCACCTTCTAGTTCTTGAAAATATTAACAAAAATATCTCTAAGTAAGTATAATAATAAGTATAATTCACTTTTTGAAAACAGGTAGATCGAAAATCGTAATGGTGGCATGAACTGTTCCAGAACTAGGCACTACTTCAGGACTTGGGTGCTCTGTGTCCCCCCCCCTCCTCAACTGCACTCGAGCTAGGTAGTTGCGAACAGCCCATTCATTTCCTTTTTTATCTTGCTAACTGTGTGATGACCCAGGGACAAAAGAAACTGAATTTTGAAATCCAAAAGAAATAGTTTGGGTTATTGCTGACTAAAAAAGACTGTCAAAACTGGAATCAAGACAATGGGGTCTCATCCAGTAAGGGGGGGGGCATGTGGTGTGACAGTTCTTGTCGGCTACAGAAATTCCAATTTTTGCAAGGGGAGGGAACCCCGGGGTGCGTGAACCATTTCGCTTAAAGCTTTTACACCCACCCCGGAGCTTCCCTCCCCTGAAAAAAGTGGATTTCTTCATGCAATATGAACTGTCGCACCACATGCCCCCCTTACTGGATGAGACCCTCACAAAGAATGACATTATAAAAAATGAATTACAAATATAAACACAAAACTGCCTACCCATGAAATAATGTCATGCATGTCCATTGAGAACTGCCTCCGTCCTAGTACCCTTTCAGAAATTTCCACAATCATTTCCGCAGCCTGTTTCCTGCCTAGGCTTATAGTGTAACGTATAGTTAGGAGAGAACGCTCTGATAAAGGAAGCCGAATATCACTGAGAAGATTTCAACGAAAGGGGTCCATAGAAAGGGACAAACTGTGGGGGCGACGTGATAACGACAGATATCAAAGGCATAAGCCTTTTGATCACTGTATAGATAAGGGAACCATACATCATTTCTTGGCCCTTTCACACCCAATAGTACCTGGTACATTGTGGCGATACACCAGAGATCAAAGGATTAGGCCACAGTTTTTCGCCAATACAAGTCAAAACCTCACAAAGGCTACAAACAAGGATCTCTAAAGAAAGAAATTACTTGCTCCCTTCGCTAAGAATTTGAATGAAGAATCTGCTGAAGGCCCCGGCGCTGTAACAATAATAAAGTAATAAGCATGTGTGGTGAAGATGGCTCCCCCCACTTTCTTCACGATTTGGGGCGCGGCCGCGGCGAGCGCGGACGAGTCGATAGTGCCCGCGAACTGTGGTGGTGATGCGTTTTCAAATTTACCCACACAGTTCGCGGGCACTATCGACTCGGCCGCGCTCGCCGCGGCCGCGCCCCAAATCGTGAAGAAAGTGGGGGAGCCGAAATGAGGACAATTTCCGATAAGCATTTCTGTTAATGGAAGAAAGAAGAATATCATCAAAAAAAAAACAGAAACTCAAACGCCAATCTTCTCGAGAAAAGAACGCGCGAAAAAAAGCCGCAATATTATGCATCAACCTAATATATTCAAGGGGCA